AGCTACTTGGGAGGCTGAGGCAAGAGAATTACTTAAGCCCAAGAGTTTGAGGTTGCTGTGAGCTGTGATGTCACGGCACTCTACCCAGGGCAACATACTCAGACTCTGTCTCAAAAAAAACAAGTTCTTCACCTTAATGTAGTTGAGTTTACCAAGCTCTCCTCTGTGTCTCGTTTAAAAATACAGGTATATAATGTGGAGAGGAGGAAAGAAGAGGGGAAGGGGGTGAGGAGGGAGGGCATTTTAATTGGTGGCATCTCATTTAAAGTGCACAATTTTAGGGTGTTCAACACGACCCCGAGTGAAGGGCTCAACTACAACTTGAGCTTTACCTCAGAAATGAAAACAATGTACCTGAAACATTTTTACCCTCATATTAATCTGAAATTAAAGAAAAATGTTTGCATATTCTAAGTCCATAACATTTATAAGTTTTAAAGTTGTCTTTTGCACTTAGTATTTTTATCAACTGGGAATTTCTATGTTTGGTATAAGGTTAGGATATAATTTCATTTTCTCCCATAGGGAAAATCATTTGTCTCTATATTCTTCTTATCATAGTCATCTGCAATACTTCTGTTTTCTATTGTTTCCAAACATATGATTTTAAGCCTTTTAGTCTGTTTCATTGGTTAATTTGTGTATCCTATACCAATATCACATTAAACCTTAATTACAGCATTACTGACATTTGTTTTTATTGTTATTCATTTTATTTTTTCATTCATTTTAATTCAATTTTTTTTTTTTTTTTGTAGAGACAGGGTCTCCCTGTGTTGCCTAGGCTGATCTCAAACTTGGGCTCAAGTGATTTTCCCCTCTCAGCCTTCTGAGGAGCTGGGACTATGTGTGCAAGTCACCTCATCTGGCTAGTTTTGACATTTGGTAGAGAAAGTCCCCACATTTATTCTTTTTCTGTAATAACTACCAAAATTACAGTCTTCTGCCCTTCCAAATAAATTTTACAATTGGTTTGAAAAGTTCCCAAAATAACCTATTAGAATTTTGATTGGAATTGCATTGACCCTATAGATCAATCTGGGAAGAAAGGACATCTTCACATCCATGAAATTGGGATATCTATTTATTTAGGTTTTATTTGTCTTCAACAAGATTTTTCCCTTACTCCATATAGTTGCTTGATTTTTCAATGTCCTATTTACTTCTCCAAAGATTTTTCAGCACTAAAATTATTTCTAGAAGTTAAGCTATTCAATTATTTGCCTAGTACACGGACTAAAAAAACCTCAGAAATATTTGCTGGTTTCTTTAATTTATACATGTAGCAAATACTTATTAAGCACCTTTGTGCCAGATTCTATGCTATGTACTGAAAATGAAAAAACATTACTATTCTACTTTCACTCTTGTGAAACTATTTGTATTGCTTTTTTCCCCTTTCATTCCAGTTCCACCAAAATTAGGTTGTACTTCTTTTCCTACTTGGGACTTAAACAATTTTTCTCATTGGATAATCCATCCTCTTACCCACATTAAAACTTGATAGAATGGGTGGTGCCTGTGGCTCAGTGACTTGGGCGCCAGCCCCATATGCCGAGGGTGGTGGGTTCAACCCCCGCCCTGGCCAAACTGCAACAAAAAAATAGCCGGGCTTTGTGGCGGGCGCCTGAGGCAAGAGAATCACCTTAAGCCCAGGAGTTGGAGGTTGCTGTGAGCTGTGATGGCACAGCCCCCTACCAAGGGTGACAAAGTGAGACTCTGTCTCTAAAAAAAAACAAAACAAACAAAAAATACTTGATAGAATGGTTCTTTTAATTTCATGTTCTCTGAAGAGGAGACAGAGGAGACAGTAATCCTAAGCATGATGATACTTCTACAAGATCTACACCTGTCACAGTAAGTAAAATCATTCAAGTTAATTATATAAACAACTTCAATCTTGGGGCTTCAAAATCTCCCACAGGCAAGCAAACTCCCAACAAAGACAGGCTTAGGCAAGTCCAACAAAAATGGCAGAAACTATTATTTCTGCATGAAGTTTTAAGAACCACTTAGTTAGGAAACTGGTGAACAGACGGGCATTGTGGCGGGCGCCTGTAGTCCCAGCTACTTGGGAGGCTGAGGCAAGAGAATCGCTTAAGCCCAAGAGTTGGAGGTTGCTGTGAGCTGTGACGCCACGGCACTATACCCAAGGCAACAGCTTGAGACTCTGTCTCAAAAAAAAAAAAAAAAAAAAGAAAAAGAAAACTGGTGAAAAGGGAGATTTCCTCAGACCACACACAGGTGGACAGAGGGCCTTCTCACGTGGAAACCCGCGCTAGTCAAGCCCCAGAAATATAGGTCAGATTTCTGGGTCAGCCCTCCTACTCCTCAACCTTTCAACATTAGGAGGTTCTCTCCTAGAACTTCAAACTGTCTTCATTTTTAAACCTATTCAGGCCTTACACCCACATCGCAGTTATTTAGCGCCTACGTTGTTGTCAAGCACAGTACTAGGAAGGTGAAGGGAATACAAAAACAGTCTCTGCAGTCAAAAGGGTTCACACCAAGAGTAAGGTTTATGAATAAATACAATGTGATGATCGATATCTTTGAAAGCACAAGAGAGTGATTCAATCTTCCAGGGAGTGACTCTGAGCTAGGACTTACGAAGGATGAGCTCTGCAATTCAGGAGAAATAAAAAGCTGGGTGTGTGTGGCTTCAGCACAGAGGCGTGGTTACAGGAACGGTGTGTGCCCCGAGAGTTAAAGGCCAGTGAAGCTGGTGGTGTCAGAACTCACACAGGGTGGAGGATGTCGGAGTTGCAGGAGCCACAGCCCAGGCCCTCCACGAATGGGAGGTGGCCTCAAATCCTCCGCCCTAGCCTCCCTGGGGCCGAAGCTCTGCCCGCCCCAGCTCCAAGCCGCAACACGTCTATAAACGCAAAAAGGAGGCAGCCCACTCGGGGGCAGAGACCCCCTCCCTCCAGTCCTCACCCCTAAGGCTCCAAACCCGCCCCAGCTGGCTGCCCGCACCTTGCCAAGCAGCCGTCTGAGACTCTCGCAGTCAAACTCCATCTCCAGCCAGATCCCACCACCTCAGCCCCGGACCTTCTTCCGGACCCGCTGCAGGACGGAAGCCGCAGAGAACCAAACTTCCTGGCGCCTCAAGGCCCCGCCCTTTCCCAGACTCGAAATTCCATCCGCGTCAACGCCCCAGGTACACCTGTTTTTGCCGGCTGCGGGAGCGAACCCACAGCAGGCAAGTGACGCAAGTGCAGCCAGACCCAGCTTGCTGTAAGGAAACTTGGGGACATCTGTGAAGGGAGGAACAGGAAAGACTGGAGCAGAAGCAGTCAAGGAGGTAGAAGCAATATGCCATATTCTTAAAGAGAGTTGCTAGAAGGATATGTTAAATTCAGCAGAGTATCCGAAAAGATCAAGACCGAAAATTGGAGTTGAATTTAGGAGAAGGGAGGTAATGGAACTTCAAGAGCAAATTTTCAGGGAGTAGAAAGGGAAACTAAGTCAGGAGGAGCCTCATCAGAGAATAGGACAGCTGCATGAGACTAGCCGTGACATAGAGGAAGGAATTGCCCTTTTCTTCTTCTTTTTTTAAAAACTGTTGGTGGTTGAAAGAGAAAATGGTGAAAAACAAGAGTTTGAAGCAGAGAGGCTGGAGACTGGTGGATGAGGTCATCTGAAGAAGAAAGGCTGAGAATGAAGATACAGTAATTTTCTGGTGTTATTTGGTCCCCTAGTCTTGTGAATTACTTACTTGCTCTGTTTCCCTGGGTTAAACCCCAGAAGCCAAAAAGTCTCAGGAGCAGAATATCGTAATTGCTGAGAGGTCGGGCAACCAGGAAGGTGATTGCATTTGTAGGAAGATCCAAAGGCAGGTTTGCTGTGACACAGTTGAAGAAAATGAAAGGCTGGGCTCGGCGCCTGTAGTACAGTGGTTAGGGCGCCGGGCACATACACTGGGGCTGGTGGGTTCCAGCTTGGCCTGGGCCTGCTAAACAACAATGACAACTACAACAAAAAAAATAGCCAGAAGTTGTGGCGCACCTGTAGTCCCAGTTACTTGGGAGGCTGAAGCAAGGGAATGGCTTAAGCCCAAGAATTTGAGGTTGCTGTGAACTGTGATGCCATGGTACTCTACCGAGGGTGACATAGTGAGACTTTGTCTCTAAGAAAAAAAGAAAGTGAAAGGCTGGGAGGAGCATTAATTCATTCATTTTTGAGACAATGTCTCACTTTGTCACCCTGGGTAGAGTGCTGGGACATCATAGCTTACAGCAACTTCAAACTCTTGGGCTCAGAGTGATCCTTTTCCCTCAGCCTCCCAAGTAGCTGGGACTACAGGGGCCCACCACAATGCCCAGCTATTTTTAGAGACAGGGTCTAGCTCTGGCTCAGGCTGGTCTCAGACTCCTGACCTCAGGGGATCCACCTGCCTCCGCCTTCCAGAGTGCTAGGATTACAGGTGTGAGCCACTGCACCCAGCCCATTTATTCATTTAAAAAAAAAAAAAACTTGTTGAGTATGATTTCAGTTATTTTTCTGGGTCTGAGGATACACAGCAGTGAATGAAATAGACAAAATTAGCTGCTGTCTTAAGGTTTTCATTCTTTTATTAGTAGGGGAAGAGCAAAGCAATATAGTAAACAAGTAAATTATATAGCACATTAGAAGGTTAGCTGTTGTGGAGAATAAATTTTTAAAAGACAGTGTAAGGAGATTGGGGTAGGTCTCATTGATGGATGAAGGAGTAAGTGTTCCAAATTAATGGACAGTCAAACCAGAGCCCTATTAAGCCTAACAGGTAGGCTTAATACAGCAAGGAGGCCAGTGTGGCTACAGTAGAATGAGATAAGAGGTGAGCAAGCAGAAGTAGAAAGCTAGGTTAGAAAAAAAGGGGGAGGGACAGATGCTTTAGAGAAGTGATTCTTCTAGAGCCATTCAGATGTACAAGCTTCGGGATCACCTGGAACTTGTTAGAAATGCAGATTATCTGCAATCCTAACACTCTGGGAGGACCAGTCAGAAGAACAGGAGGATTGCTAGCCCTCAGGAGTGCCTGAGCAAAAGTAAGACTAGTTCTCTACAAAAAATAGAAAAATTAGCTAGGCATGGTAGAACACCTATAGTCCCAGCTCATAGGGAGGCTGAGGCAGGAGGATCACTTAAGCCCAGGAGTTTGAGGATACAGTAAGATATGATGACATTGACACCACTGTACTCTAGATTAAGCAACAGAGCCAAACTCTGTCTC